TTTGCGCTATTTTTACACAGCAGGTGGCGGCATGGGCCCTGTGAAGTGGAACCGACGACGACGACGACGACGAAAAGAACGTGACCAAGGCCCTGACATATGTACAATACTCGTAGTACGTTGCAGTCCGTCCCGTTCCCCGCCGTTCCCTGCCGTTCCCCGCCTTTTCTCCACTTGAGTCTGTCAATAAATCAGTGAACATTTGTCATGCACACGCCCGCTGCTCTGCTGCTGCTCTGCCCAAAGATCAATACGCCACTCCGTCTGCCCGCAGAGTCTCTCTCTCTTTCTTTTGTCTCTTTCTTTGGTTATTCGTCGTTTCGTTTTTACCTGTTGCGCAGGCGCCGCTTTGCAATGTTTTTACGAGGGTCTCTCGCTCGCTTCTCAGCGCCTAAATCAAATGATTAGATTAACCAGATAACACACACACACACACACACAAAAACAAAAACAACAATAAAACTGAGCAAAAATAACCGCTACAGTTAGTGGAGTGACCATTGGCGAAGGGCTGTGCTGAGGTGGGGGGGCGGGGAGAGGGAGAGGCTCTTGCACCGCACTGCAGCAGACACATAAATCATTTTTGTTTATTAATATCTTTTTTCTCTCTCTTTCGTTGTGCGTCTTTCCCTGTTTCTTTGTTGTTTCTTGTTTCTTGTTTTTTTTTTTGCAACTTTGTTTTTGTTAGTTTTATGAAAATCGATTTACAAATTTTTTTATATGCAGGCGGCTGGCCAGTCGTTGCGGTGCGCTGTGGGAATTGTTTTTGCAGCAGCGCGGTAGATGGGGAATTTTTATTGCCTTTAGTTTTGTTTTTTTTTTTTTGCAGCGGAGAATATTATGAGGGTAGAAATATAGTCTACAAATTTAAGAGAGCTAGTGTATTTATCAGTAGAATCAGTTCTTGGTGCTATTCACAGCCGAAAAGTTGGTAAAATATTGATATATTTTTCATTGAAATAATATTAAAAACTACAATTAATAATGAAATAAAATAAATAACAAATTCTACTAAAATAATAAAAAAGATAAACAAAATAAATAATAATAATCAAATAATAAAAAATATTTAATAACAATTCAATAATAAATATAAATAATAATAATCAAATATTAAAAATAAATATTAATAAAAATAAATAAAATATAAAAAAATTTCATAGTAAAATTAATACATTTTTTCGAAAATAATTTTTAATGCTTGTCTACAAAAAAGTGAATAGATACTAATATTTTATTGACATTTCCCTAATAGCACAAAAAATACATAGACGAATTTCAAAAACTAAAATACAAATTTAAATAGAGCCTAAAGCCATTTTTATGATCCTATTTTTTATGTTTTTGAACCAGTAACATGATAAAATTCTTACATTTAAATGAAATCTATATTTATTTCCAAAATAATATTCCCGAAAATACTTTCAAGTGCAATATTCATCGCTCTTCACCTCAGCGATTGCCCACATTTCAATAAAACTATCCATTCAATGGAGAACCAAACATTCTACAAGCACCACACGAATTCCACTCGAGAAAACACCTGAATTTCCGAAGTAGCTCTCAAATTATTTCAAATTTGTTTAATAAATCATTTAAAAAACATTCGAAATTCACTAAACCAAACAAACTGTTTTGAACATTTCGTTAAAAGCAACACAAAAATTTTAATTGAAAGAGGAAAACAAGAACTGCCCAAACGGCCGAAACAGACGAAGTAAATTTTCAAATAAATATTCATAGAAAAGTGAAACAACAGGCAAAAGGCCGATCCGGTCCGACCAAACCACTTGAAGGGAAAAATCAGATAAACGAACTTTGAATCGAATTGAATTTAGTTGGAAGATTGGAAGATCTCGAGAGTTTAGGAATAGTAGGAATTATTGTAATGCGTTACACATTGTGTAGGCAGCCGAAACGAAATCTCGTAATCGGAGGAATATCTCTTTTGAATAGCGTTAAATTATGCATCACTTTTTTTTGGGAAATTTAAAATTCCGTTTTTGTTATTTTTCACTAATTAACAAAAAACACAGAAATTTTCGTAGAGACTGCCGACTGCCTGCGGGGCTGCCCTTTGGGGCCCAAAGAGTGCATCCGTGTACGCCCCGGGAGGGCCTTGCATATGAAAATTGTTTAATAAATTAATTACCTCTAAAGATAATATCGAAAAAGAGACAAGTAGCTGGTTGTTCCACTCGTAAAACTACATAGTTTTAGGGGATCCCTTGATTGCAGGTTTGCTGGCAGGCAGAAGCCTTTGGGAGCCTCTCGTTTTTTTTGGGTTTTAAGAGAGGGTATGCCGGAATGGAAGTGCGGAATGTAATCGTTGTGAAGGTATTACCTGGAAATAAAAGATATTTAATTAGTTACATGGCAAAAACAGTGTCTCTTGGTAAGAAATGGTTTCAAAAATATATGAAATTATATTGTGTTTGGGGATTTATTAAAATTTTGGGCTTAATTCTGGCAAATAAAATGGAAATATTCAACTTTTACACTTGAAAAACCCCTGTATATTTCTGAAGTTGTATTAAAACGTATCGCATACCCAGAAGAATGATAATTTGTATCAGTTAATGTTTGGTTATATATTTTCTCGAATATTCTACGGCATTTAAAGAAGTTTTTCCTTCAAAGACCAAACGCTCACGTGCAAAAACCTCATTAATCTTTAGGATAGTTATCAAATAAATCAATGTATGATGTTTTATCCATAAGTTGAGTTTCGCTATAGATGTTATCTTGAAGAAAATATCAGTATCATCCTTCCACTAAAGAGTTTCACCTTATAACTTAGTACTTATGTTAGTACTTTAGTTTCTATGACATAACTCCCATTATTCTTCAAAATATAGCCTCGAAACAAGGTCTTCAATGTATTCCCATATTCCCTTACCAAAATATCATAATACTCGTACACCTCCTTTCATATCCCTTAAAATCCATTCCGTTTTCATCTTTATAATCTCTAATATATCTTCTATAGAGTATTCCCTAGTCGTTTTCTCTTCTTCTTCTCCTGCCTCTCTTCCACTTATTTTGAATATATTTAATCTTAAGATCTCTCTCTCTTTATCTCGCTGTCTCAATCTTCTGTGGCTATCTGCACAAACAAAATCTAAATCAATGAAAATGATTTGATTAAATTGTTTTCTCTCTTTCGTTTCTGTTGTAGTCAAATCTTCATTATGGTATCTACTTAGGAGGGAATATATATTCTTTGGGTGCGTCATGGAACCCAGCAGAACAGCGGCATCAGAAGCGGCAGCATTCAATTTTGTTCCAGTATTTCTCTTTAGAATCTTTTTAATAGACAATCAGCCGCAAACAAAACACAGACTCTCGCACTGGCACTTGTTCTAAATTAATCTTCATTAGGGTCACTTAGGCAATAACAAAAACAACAAAAAAGCCGAGTGGAGGTCGTCCCACCATAGCTTATGGGGTACGTACAATATGTTGCAAGCAGGAGAAGCCTGCCCCGATGAGTGGCGCAAACTTTGATTGAATTTTCATTAAATTTTTGCGCTGCTCTGCTCTGCTCTGCTCTGCGCTGCGCTGCGGTTGCCATAAATCAAATATTCCAGCTAGCGAGAATGTTGTCAACTTTTCACTTTTAATTAGTTTGGCAGTTGGGTTGAAAAAATATTTTTAGGTCACGCCCCGGCACACACACACACACACACACAGAGGCACACACAGAGCCATCGTGGCCCACCGTGTGGCATGTGGCATAAATCACAAATTCACTTGCGCAAATATTTGGAGAACATTTTTCCGATGCACCTGTGTGCGATGAGGGCGACAAAAGTTGCACAAATATTCTGTCATAGCCGCAGTGTACTGTACATACAGTGGAGCTGGAGAGTCTGTGGCCAGGAGGCCTGCGGCTGGCTTTTGTTTTCGTTTTTACGAAAAGCGTAACCATTTTTGCTGCATAATTTTGGGCGCTTTGACAAGGCTGGAATTTTTAAGGGACAAAAAAAAACAATCACTCGTAAAATTCGTTAAAATATTTAATCAAATTCTAGCGTTACTCGAAAGAGTTTTACCCGAAGGCTAAATTCTTTAAGAAATTTAAGGTAGAGGAATAACAACTGTTGCAAGTCCTGGCTCCAGGATGGCACAAACATGCTAAACAGACGCTCCAGACGGGGTCCCTCGTCACTCTTTGCTCTCTTTCTCTCTGTCGATTTTCCACTGCAGACATGTAAATTATGTTGGTTTTTGGTCAGTCCGATGGTCGGGCCGGGACCGGCAGACAGAGTCCACAGACCAGGGTCAGGAAATGGTCCTGTTTGCCACCTTTTTGCGTATTTTCGGTGGAGTTTCTACTCGCTTTTTAGGGGGGTGGGGGGCGGGCTACTGTCTCCTCTTCTACTTCCCCCTTTTTGGGTGGGGAGTTCCTGTCTCCTCTTCCCCCTTTTTGGGTGGGCAGTTCCTGTCTCCTCTTCTCGCCTTCTCTGGCGTCTCTTTGTCTCTTCTGGGGTGCTCCTTTCTGTTTTCGCAGTCTGTTATTGTTTCTACTTTAAGCGTTTATAATTTTTGGCATTCCTGTTTCTGGTTATAAATCTATATAACCGACAGAAGCAGCCGCTCTCTCACTCTCTTTTTCCATTGCATAGCCAGCTCTCTCCCAGTGAGACTCGAACGCTTATAAAGGAGGCATTTGTGCCTCGACAAAAACGTTTTTTCACTGATAAAAATTATCGAAAATTAATGCGCTATTTGTGGGAATTTAATTTGTTGTTTGTTTACATTTTCTTTATATTAAAATTTGTTTTTCTGTTTTATTTTTTTTAATTTCTTTACTTCCATCCATCGTTCCACTGTGCCATCACCTTTTGGTAATCTTTTTTCAAAGAATTTTATTGTTTTATTTGTAGCTTTTTACAATCTCTCTTTCACTTTAAATCGTAAAAAAAGCCTGATATTCTAGTCATTATTGAGCCAACGGCTGCAACTATTTTCGAATCGAAACATTCGTGAGTGGAAAGAGCTACTGAAGAGACGTCGAAACCGGGAATTCAACATGGAACCGACCACAAAGGACGGCGTTACCGTACGCATTATGACCCTGGCGGACTATGAGACCTTTAAGTACGTATTCGAAGAGCAGTTCATTCGGGGAGAACCCCTCAGCGATCCCATTGCTGCAGCAATAGACCCGGAAGTATGGAACTTGTACGATCAATATCATCAGTCACTGGTTGCCGACGGGACCTGCGTGGTGGCCATCGACGAGGAGAACGACGGCCGTGTCGTGGGCTTTGTGCTGGCTGAGGGACAGGTCCCCGAGGATGTGGAGAAGCACCGCCAAGAGGCCGATGCCGTGGCCCTGCCGGACACGGATATCACCGGTCACATCAGGCGCATAAACTACGTGGTGGAAAGAGATGCAAAACTCTACGAGCACTACGGAGTGTCCAAGCTTTTGTACTCCCACTTGACCTGTGTGGATGTGTCGATGAGGGGCAGGGGATTGGGTTCTCGGCTGGCCACCGCCGCCATGGAACTCGGACGATCCAAGGGCTATCCCCTGATGACGGCTAACTGTACGAGCTTTTACTCTGCCCGACAGAAGGAGGCCTTGGGAATGGAGTGTATCTATTCGCTTAAATATGAGGACTACAGGGGTACAACGGGCAAGGTGATATTTTCCCCGCCGGCACCTCATAGGGAGGTACGAGTGATGGCCATTAGGTTGTGAGTTATCTTTCCAAGACTTTAATGAGTAATAAAATGTGACCAAAATGTGTGACTAATGAAGTATTCGGTGGGGGAGAAGTGCAAAGGTTAAAGCTGAAAGCTTTCGCAGTGCTTTCCAATCGTGCGATCAGCTGACCAGAAGCTCGTTCTAGAGTCGAGCTCTTCTCCCTCCCTCCCTCGTTGAGGTAGTCCACCCACACATCGGGGGGTCAAGCCCCAAAAGCCCCCACACGCGTACATCTGTTACGTAATCAACGCGTCTTCCAAAAACAAAAGCAAAGGCAATGTCGTGGGCAGTGGGCAGTGGGAGGGAGGGAGGGAGCATGTGTGTGTATCTTGTAGATACTTTTTCGCATGTATCGCATCGCCAAGGCATCGCATGTGGTTAGCGTTACGCCGCCCCGCCATTGGATTGGATTACAAACACAATAAAATAACAATTAGTCTTAGTGCGAAGAAAAGTGGAACAACAAAAGCAAAGCGAGGAAAACCAAAGAGAAAAGCAGCAGCCCCGCCAGCCAGCTAGCCAGCCAGCATTTGCCTTGTAACAGTAGAAGATGGCAGAGGGGAGAGGGCAGAGGGGAGGGGGTCCCTTCAGCACGAGAAAAAGTTTGTGTGGAGCGAATAGAAGCGATGGGACTTTAAGAATTAAAGTTTCGGGGAGAGAAATTTCTGCGAAAAAAGCAAAGTGATTCGAGCTAACATTTCGCAAATCAATAAGCGATAGAAAAAATAGTTCTAATTCATAGAAATAGGTATAAACTGTGGAAAATGGGTATAGTGCGTAGAAAAATTTATAATTTGTAATTTATAAATTTGTAATTTATAGGAAAAAGTATAATGGATAAAATGGTATAAGGGATAAAATAGGTATAATTCAGGGGAATAGGTATATTGCCGCAAACATTTTGAAATCCGTGAATAAATGTAAAATTGATAGAAATAAGTACGACGAATTAGGTATAAGCTACAGAAATAGGTATAAACCATTGTAAAAGGTATACGCGATAAAAGTAGGTACAGTTCATAGAAATAGCTAGGGTTTATACCTATAGAAATCCTAGAGAAAGAGTTATATATCAAAGAAATAGGTATAATATCTTTAAAAAGGTATACTCAATAGCAATAGGTATAGCAATGAATGAATTAGGCGTATACTATTGAAATAATTTGAAGGTATAGTTAGAGATAGGCATAATCCATGGAAATGGGTAAATATCGATACAAATCGATCAAGAAAACGATGAAAAATTGATCAATAGTCGATGAATGTCTATATAAATCGATAATTGCATAGGAAAAAAGTGTGAAATCTATCAATAGTCGATAAAAGTCGATAGAAAATCGATAATTGCATAGTGCCTTTCAAAAAGCATTATTTCACGGATCACAGAGACTTTCCTTCAAATTGTTGCTTGTTGGACCCACAAGACGTTTCATACTCAAAAATTGAGTAAATACTCGTATTCTTGATACCACTATCTTTCTGCTGTTAGAGAAAAGCTTTTATGTATGCGATAAGATTTTCAGATTTCTCTCGAAAACAATCAGAGATAGCATACGAGTAAAAGGCGTCTAACTAAGCTTTATTTCCATTCACAGTGCTTTCTAATCTATAATTATAATTTTGCGTATAAAATACAAGTGTTTTTGGGTGTTTACATATTCTTTGGTGCCCTGCAATCCGGCAGTCGCCTCCGCTAGAGGCGTATGCCCATGACACTGCCCTCCGTGTGAGGGGCTGGCGGTCGTAGGACGACCCTCCCCTGATCGTCTTTGTAATCCGCATAGATCTGCGAGTGAATGCACTCCATCTTGAGGGCGGACATGAGGCGCGTGGAGTTCTGGTTGGTGCAGGTGGAGACCATGGCAGAGAAGCCCTTGGTGCGGCCCAGATCGATGAGGGCGGAGACCAGGCGAGAGCCCAGGCCCTGGCGACGCACCGAAGAGTCCACGCCAAGAATATACAGGTACAGGGCAGAGTCCACGCCGTAATGCTCAAAGTAGTTGGCGCTCTTTTCGATGCCAGCGAGAAATCTGTGGATGTGATGCAGCAGACAGGTGGGCTCCAGCTGACGGGCCTCGGCGTAGTGCTGCTCGACGTCTTCCGGCCTTTGGGCGCCTGCCAGAATCACGCCCACAATGCGATTGGCGTTCGCCTCATCGATGGCCACCAGAGAGACACCCTGGCGGATGAGCGACAAATGCAGCTCCGATTCGGCGGGTATGACCTCCGTGGCCGCCTGATCCTCCTGCGGGGTGAGCATCAGGGGCTCCTCCTTGAAGAAATGCTCGGCCAGAAAGGCCTCCACCTCCTCGTAGTCCTCCAGTCGCATGACGCGTATGCTGATGATCGCTGATGACATCTTTTCAAGTGCCTTCGCGCACACGAACTGAGAGAAATTTAACGCAATTTACTTGCTTTATACGCCGTCGAGAATTTTAGCGAATTTGAGCGACAAAACGACAAACACTCATTGCACATGGAGAGCGCTTGCTCGGAGCTTTTTTCAAATGTGTGTGGCGAGGCGACCTTCCCCACACCACCAGAGCCCCAGAGCAGGCCACCAGCCACCCACCAAACTAACGGCGTGTTGTTCTTATCAAGAAGCTTTATTAATATACCTATATATTGTACACTGTATACGTAAGACATTTGTTTGTTTTCTTGCTTGCGGTTGAACGAGGTTGAATGACTTGCGGGCCGCCCCGCCGAACGAGCATGAATAATACTCGAATTTGGTTGGGTTCATTTCTACATATATGTTTTGAGAGGTTAAATAATTGATGGAAGTACCCTAAAGTTCAGTCAATCCGGAAAAGGGAATAAGTAGCTTTGAAATTATATCATTTCTCTGGACCTTTTGAAGATCTAAATGATTCCCAAGTTTATGGAACTTTGTGTATTATATTACGAGACTTGTACACATTTTAGAGCTTAGATAAAAGAAGAGTATCTGTCGGTCTTGTGAGTTTTTTGCACTCCTAACGGCATCAAGTTTTTTTCGGCGGCTATTAAAGATCCAGTTACCCAAATAAATATACAAACATATAAGAATGTAGGGGGAATACAGCTGCATTGGTATTTTAATTTATTTCATATATTTCTGACGAGTTATAAGATATTAGAGAATTTTTAGAAGAGAAGAAGGTGTATTGGCATTGTAGGAAGGTTGCTAATAGTCATAATTTTGATCCTCTTTTAAGTTTATATTTTGTTCTGTTATATCATACAAATCATAATAAAATTCAATTTATTTTGACTTTTTTTTGTCTCTTTGGAGGATTAAATATTTGATAAAGATTTATGTTTATAATTATGCAATTTTTTTCGCATATCAATATGAAAAAAATATAACTATAATCTCCATTGCATTTATATAATATTTAGTTCAAAATGTCGTATTATTGGAAGCCTTTTAGCTTTTTGTTACATTTTTCTGATGATATTCTATGTGAAAATATATTTTTAGCACGAAAAACCATAAAAACATCTACATTTTTTCTATATCTGATGATATTTCTGGACTATTTATGGGATTTAATTTCTTTTAAGAGCTAAAAAAAACCGGCTGTAACTTTGTTTAAAAGGTAGCTGCAGTTCCAAACACCTTTGTTTTTTTTGTTTATCTTTCGAATGACAAATAATTTTGCCAGACAGATGAACTATAATTTTGAACAGGTTTCAGATTTCAATAGAGAAAGAGAGAGTGAGAGAGAGAGAGAGAGAGAGAGAGAGAGGGAAAGAGAGAGAGCTTTGGTTTGGGCCTCGCATCGCGTGATTCGATATGCAAAATGTCAGGTTGTTGAGTTCCCAGCAAAAACGTGACTCCCCTCCTCCCCTTTCACCCCTCGGGAAAATCACTCCCCTCCTGCACACACAATGCACCCTTGGCGGAATCCTTCAAATAAATTATGAATCGCTTCGGTGCTCAAAATGCAAAATGCAGGTCATTAGTGCAATTTAACCCCCTGTCAAACCCAGCCCGCAAAGCAATCATGGTCCCCTCTCTCCCTCTCCAATGGTAGACCCTCACGCACTCCTTCCCTCCCCCCCCGCTGAGGCACACCACTCGCACGCACTCATTAACCCTTTGTCGCCGTCTGTTGGCAGTTTTGCATCTCCTCTCCTCCCCTCCCCTCCCCTCGCCCCATCCCTTGCGGCGGACGCTACTTTGTTGTCTGCTTTGTTTGTTGCTTTATCGCGTTATTTCAGCGATTCGTTTGAGCCCCCTCCACGACTCCTCTACTTCCCCCCCTTTCGGCACTCATTTAGTCCTCCCTTCCCCACCCCCCTTCGCTTTTTTCTGCCTTTCCTCCTCCCCTTTTCATTCTCTTATCTCCTTTGCTGATGGCATTTTGTTCACATTTTAAACAAAATACATTTTTTATTTTATTCTTTGTTTTTTATGGGAATTTAATTCGATTTAAAAGCCATAAACAAAATTCCGTCTCTAACTGACATTGAAGATCGGGTTTTGTTTATGCCGTGCACACTATTATTTCTAAAAAGTATTAGGAATCGGAGATGACTTTTGGAAACTGAAGATTCTTCTTCGATTCTTTAAAGATTTTAGAGTACTCGTTGCCTGTCTATCGGACTTTGTGGGACTTTCAAACGGAACCTCTTAATGCGACTCCTTAATATTAGTTATCTACTCTAAGAACAGCAGGTCAAAAAACTATAGCTTGTATATATTTATTCTTTATTCAACATCAAAAATCAAGTCTTTTCTTGGATGAACTTGTTTTTTAAAGACAATTCAAAGAACAATAGAAAAGTTCAGATTTTTATGATAATAAACTTAAAGAAATATAAGCTCTAATCGCTAAAAATCTTTTAATAATAAGTATAGAATCATTAGCGATCGTTTGACAGACAAAACTTTAACAAAAAATAAAGAAAAAATACCAAAACCTTGGCTTATCCAAATATATGGCCAAAAAACTGCATAAGCTTTAATATATGTACTTTATGTATATCTCATAGATATCATAGATGTATCATAGTGTATCTAAACCTTCGGTTGCCCCCTAACTATTTCCATTCGCCCATTTTCTATGACTTTTTCCCGTGTGGTGTTGCCTTTTTGGTAATTGTTTTTAAATAATTGGCATTTAATTGTGTATTGACGTCATTTTCAAGGTTTTAAATTGATGAAACCGTGGCACTCGGTGGCACTCGCCCTTCGAAAGGAAAACAAATTAAAGTTTATTGTAATCGATTTTCACTAAAGAAAACGACCGAGGGAGCGGCAGAAAAGCGGGGAAAAAATTTTGTTGCCATTTTTTGTTGCTGTTGTTGAACGTTTCAAGTTTAATTTTCGATTTTTATTTTCGTGTTGATGACAACACACACAGACACACACAGAGATCGAGGGAGAGCGGAGTACGTGACCCGCTTAACAAATTTGTGCGTGTTTCGAGCCACCCTCCAGTGCCACTTAACCCATGAAAAAAAACCCACCACCCACCTACCCCCCACCTACCCCCCACCGCTGAACCTCCTTTATAGTTATTGCAGTTTTATCTCCAGTTTCGGACCATTTCAAAAGTCACTTTTACCGATAGATACTCCGTAGTAGTAGTAGTACTTTCTCGTTTAATTAAAAGCAAATGCATTTAAGAGCTATTTCGGGGAGTGGCTTCACGGCTGCCGATGGGCTGTTTCCCACGCTCCTGCCCAGCCCTATTGACTCTATGAATATTCAAAGAAATACTCGCACTCGCACTCGGTTCATACTCGTTGATCGATTTTCATGCCTATTTGTTTTCAGTGCTTGAATGCTCAGGCATTTTGGTAGTCAGTCACTTAATTTTCAAGGTTTTAATTAGCATCTTTTGAGGGTCTACGGGTCTCTCGGCGCTTAAGTCAACGCCTGGTGACTGCCTCTAACTAATGAGAGTTTTTTGTGGCTTTAAGCCACATAATAACTTCATCAAACCGAAAGCCACCAAAGTGGCTGTCGATAAAAGGTGTAAACTTGGTGGATTATGTGACAGATTGGAGCGTTTGTTATGGAGAGACTTAAGAGGAGTTGATTGGGGATTATATGATGTAATGAATAGATTGAAGTTTGGGGCTTTCATATGGAGCTGCCTTCAGGGCTATTGGATTGAATGGAGAGGTTGGAGTAGGGAGAGAACTTCCATCTTGAGGTAGGTCATACAAAATTCTACAATTTGTTGAATTTCGGGTGTATTCCCTTTTCTAAAGGAACTAGGGAATTATTACAATTTTCTGGGTATTTTATTAAAATTAAATTTATTTTAATTTAAATTTTGATGATGGTTTACAACATTTAAGGCATTCCTTAATGATTACTAGAGATATGCAGATTTTCTAGGTATCTATATAGTATTTTATGGATTTCTTATAAAGAACCTCGCGAAAATACTTCCTTTGGGTGATATTTTTACTCTTAAACTTTCCCAAAATGATATCCATCATCTCTCCATATATTTTCTATATTTGTTACCTATTTTATAAGAACTTATACCCAATTACTTTTAAATAAACCTCTTTACGTCTCTCAAATTTATATATAATATCCCCAGAAACATTTCCATGCAAGGATATATTTGCTTAAATCATATTCTTCATTGAATTCGCTCTCCATAAGACTCTGTGCTCTAATTTCATTGATAACCCCACCGCAAACGCTTTATGTAACCCCAGAAACATCTAATTTGCCAAGCACTGCCAATCCTCCAATCATCTACTTCTCCCAGCCAGCCCCTACCGCCCCCACTCCTGCCGCCGTCACCCCCTTTCGAATCAGTTGCAATTTGTACTTAATTTGTGCCTTAAAAGTTTTCATTTAATCTACCCCCACACACCCACACACACACACACACACAGCCACTAACCATTTCCCAAATAAAGATAAACTTTTCCGGAAAATGCCCAATAAGTGGAAAACCGAAAAAGAGAGATACTTTGCCCACAGAAGGAACTTTTTCTTGTTGTTATTTTCACATAATTAAATTGACATTAGACATCGTTTAACTTTTATCTAACTGCCGGTTAAAAGAAGGGAGGAAAATGTTACCTTTTAGGGGGTGGGGGGGAGGCAGAACACTTACCTGTTTTAGGGGGGAGATCCTCTCCTTAGATGGATATACTTTTGGTTAGACTGTTGCATATGGATTGAGGCTCCATCACACCTCCTTCCACACCTGTTCCTCGCGCACACACATACACACCCGAACGCGAAACGATTTGCGATTTACGATAACCGACAGCCGATGGGACGATGGAACGATTGCCGTCGATAGGATGGCCAGAAAATTGCGACGCCAATTGCGCGACACGTTACTCCAGCAAAAGTTTCGCAACGACTACTGGCCCGACAATTGGAGCTGCCTCAACGAGCGCCACAATGTCATCCACATGCCATACAGACACAAGGGGCAAGCAGCCGCTGCTCGAGAGCAGCGTTGGTGGTGAGGGGAGTGGGCGGGGTGGGGATAAATGGACGTAGAACATTTGCGATTTCCTCCTGGCTGCGTGACGTTTCCTGCTGGCTGCCGTGAAAGAGAGGAAGAGCGAGAGCGGGAGAGAGTTTCAGTATCAATCCATTCTCGTGTGTGTGCACCTGTAAGCGTCGGCGGCATCGAGTACCGTTAGCGCAACTCAACGAAGCCGAAGCCGAAGCCGAAAAGCGGTGCCAGCAGCAGAGAGTGTGAGAGCAAATGCATGTGTGGATGGCATGTGGATCGTAACGACAGAGTGAGAGAGGGAGCGACGAAATGCAGTTGCTGCTGTGCTGGGGGGAACAGGTGAGAGGCGTCCTGCTACCTGGGAGGAATTCATGAAATACATTTTTGATATTATTTAAATTTATTTAAAGTGTGAAAAGAATTTTTTCAATATTTGTAAATTCGAATATACACACTTGATCATAATAATAGGTACACCTTGAAGCTTTTCATTAATAATTAGTTTTATCGTACTTTAAGTGTTGAAAACAAAATTTTGTTTGGTATGTTTTATTTGTCAATGTATTGCAGTTCCGTGGCAAAAAAATGAAACAGGGAAACCGCCGAATAACAGAGCTTTAAGCGAAATTGCGAGTTGACATCACATTATGGCTGATCAAAATAATAGGTACAGTGTCAGTAAATTTTGAATATCAAGTGAATAATTTGGAAATTCTTGACTTTTTGGCAATTAAACATCCATTTCATTTAACAACAGTCTAAATATAAACAAATAATTATTTTTTTCTTACAAGAATAGGCCGAATGTCTTATTGTACAGCCCAATTGGCTCTTAGTCTGAAAAAAGAAGGCCAATTTCTTCGGGCCATTGCCAAATTAATGAAAAGGTCTCATAATTTTGTTACAATGTTTTAAAAATTAAAACCTAGTCAGGAAACTCGCGGAAAGCCACAGAAAACAACCATAACACTTGACCACTACATACTTTTCTTTGAGAAATAAGGACCCATTTAAGTCGTCAAAGGCTATTGCATCAGAAATTGCACTAGAAGTTAGTGCTCCAACGATCTGTAGACGGCTACAACAAGCCAGCCTTCCAAGGAGAATAGAAAGAAAGGTCCCACTTACGCGTCAAAAAAATTTAGCCATGGGGCAAACTTTTGCTAAAGATCATAAAGACTGCGCAGGATGCGCCGGAGAGAAAAAGTGGAGAAGCCTTTTATGGAGCGACGAAACTAAAATAAATTTATTAGGGAATGAATGTGAAAGCAATGTAGGAAGCCCTAAACGAAGGAATTTTGATCCATGTTTCAAAAAAAAAATTTCTCAAACATGGAGGTGCCAGTTAAAGATATGGGGCTGCTCATCCTGGTACGGCGTAGGTCCATTTTTCCTGACAACGAACAGAATGGACGCTGAGCAATACAAACCCAGATTGCAGACAGTTATGCTACCTTATGCTGAAGAAAACATGAGTTTCCATTGGGTATTTAATTAATATAACGACCCAAGGCACACATCTAAGCTTTTGACCAACTTTTTTGAGGACCAAACAATAGACGTTTTAAAGTGGCTTCCTAAATTTTCCGACTTAAATCCAATCGAAAACTTGTGGGGAGATTTACGAAACAAAATTAGCTAAGTTTTCATTTTCAAATAATCAAAAATTATGCGAGGGCGTCCAAAAATTGAGGTATGAGACACCTGCCAGACGCTTATTACAAGTACGCCAAAAATAATTATAAAGGTGACAAAAAGTCAAGGTGGATACATCGGATATTAACTATAAACCCCATTTAGGCAACAAAAAAATAATAATAATCAGTTAACAAACTTTTTTCATAACAAAACTTGAAGTGTACCTATTATTTTGAGCAGCCTGACATTGACTCTGAAGTACAAATTGCTCTCTTTTCTTTTATAACATTATCCTATAATATAATAAAGTTTTTTTTATTGAAAACAAATACTGTTGGTATAATTGAGAACTAATTTTAAGTTTCAAATATTGAATACAACTGCTTTTTGTTATGTTAAAGTTTACGTAGATGTGTGTACCTATTATTATGATCAAGTGTGTATTTTAGAATAATTTTCTGATATTTTCTGGAACTTATTTCCCTCACTTTATTTGCTTCTACCTGCCTTATTAAATATTTAAAATTATTGATTACATTTCTCTGGACTCTGCCGGCCCGCCCACACAAACAAAACACAAAACTTAACGTTACTTTGTATTTACTTCGGAAGACGCTCAAAGAGAGCGGTACTCAAAGAGAGACTCTCTTTGTGGTGTTGTGGCAGGCGTATAAGACGGAACGTTGTGGGAAATGGAACAAGCATTTATTTTTGTTGCTCTGCTAAGAGAGCTGGAGAGCGTGTAAGAGAGCCGGCTGCCTGTTGATGAGCGTTTACATTTACCGTACCACGAATCTGAAACATACGCTAGTCCAGTGGGGGGCTGCCACTCACAGGGGGGGTGCAATCATTTATTTTTATATTTTACACTACTTCATGAAATTTGAGGAACAAAATATACGAGTAAATGCTTTTTATGGGAAGAATTGTATAAAAATCAATTATTTTGGAGTAAATTACTTTAGAAATAATTATGGAAATATTTAGAATTAACCAAGTAGATTGAACATTTAAAAAATTAACGAAAGAGTAAATTAATAGATTGGAACTCCTATAAGTGAAAAGCCAGGAGGGATATCCATCTCCCTTGAGAGAAAAATATAAATAAAAGTGGGATGAAAATATAAATGCATTATAAATAAAATACCATAGAACTACACAAATATTTGACCGTTGCAATTTCCATGCTTTATAGGAGAAAAATAAAAATTCTAAATTAATAAAAATATTTCGAAAATATTAAAGGTACTTCCATACAAATTATAAAGATTTTTTTGTGTGCTGAGAATTTCTAAACACTAGTTTTTCTATGCTAATAATAAAAATAAAATAAACTTCCAGTAAAAAGTACTCTGGGAAGTTTTACCCCCAAGTTCCAAACCATTACACCTTGCACGCTCCACAGGCAAGACACAGTCGACGCAGACGACACTTTTGCCCCACAGAACACCCCGAAGACACACTCCCACCCACCGCTCCACCGCTCCACCCTTCCACCCAACCATCCATCCATCCAACAGGTTCCAACACATTTTCGTTTCCAATTAGGGCCAACTGTGACCGTCTCGATGAGGTCCCGCACGGCAGAGCCCAGCCGGCAGCCCAGCCCCACAGACAGCCCAGACAACCTATAGATAACTGTACAGCATAGTTAATCCCCTCGATGCGACGGGTCGTTGTCGTTGCCAAACATTCAATCAAATTCTGTCAAAAGTTGCAGCGCCAAAAAGCTTAGCGCAACTTTAAAAAAAAAAAACAACAAAAGAAAAAAACAAGAAAATGCATATCAAATTGTTGACTTAATAAAAGACGCGGGGGAAGGGGGAGGGGGAGGGAGGAATGAAAGATAGATGGATGGGGTGGATGGGGAGGGCATAGGTTTCTTATCAATTTGAGAAGTTTTTCTTTTTCTTTGCCTCTGTTTTTTGGGGTATTTTGTCACTTGGGATTTGGTTTGGAAAGATTTTCCGTTTTTTTGTTTTTGGTTTTTGGTTTTTTTACTTTGTCTTTCTTTTGCACCTTTTTGGCGAATCGTTTTTTGGGAACGATTTAATGTCTGCAAAGTTTTGTCCCAACTGTTGATATCAGTTTGGGGATTTTGAAATTGAGGAGGCTACAAGAACTTTTGGCTACAGCCACAGGATATGTGTGCAGGCGAGGATTAAATCTGAGTTATCAGTGGGATATATATGGGAATATTTTAGGGGTGAATGAACACTCTGATAGCCACCCACATTTCCATAGATACGAGTATGTGAATGATTTTTTTTTTATTTCTAAAAAAAGAAGGCACTTTTTTCTGTACACTTTTTTTCTAGAATATTAGTTTTTTCTCGTTTTTAGAGTGAATTTAGAATATATTTTCGTAGCTTGCATTATTTATTTATAGTTTTTACTCTTGATTTAAATCTTTAGAAATAATAATTTAAATTTCGTTTTGGAGAAGTGTTTTAAAATTTATTTTTAATATATTTAAAAATACTTTCTCATCTTGTTATTCATTTGGCCTCACACATTTCGTTTTATTTTGATTGAATAATAAATATTCATACAAAAATATTGGAATTTTTTCGTTTTTAAATGCAGAAACATTTGATCAATTTTCTGGTTTTTTTTGGAGTGATTTCTAAGAACATTTTTAAAATGAAATTCATTTATTTATTAGTTTTATATTTTATTTAAATATTGAAAATTCATTGGAACTTCTAGAAATGTTAAATTAAGTTTCATTTCTGTGTAAAATTGTATAACAAATTTATTTCTGTGTACTTTGAGGCACTTGCAGCATCCAGCATATATTTTTTTTTGCATATCCACCCACATTTCTTTGAATTCCCTTCGAATCAGACAGTCTGACGAGCTTTAATTGACTTGGGATGTCTAAAAATACCGCTCAGAAGGTAAGCAGAAAATCCCAAAGTTAGCGAGGAATTTTATTTAGGAGGCTGCTGACCTTGGCTTTGGGTTCAAGGATAACCCTGGAATAGAACTCTGGTCATCTCAAGCAGGGATTTCGGGACACAGCCAAAGCAATTAGACAAAATGATTTGTGAATTGAGGGAAACGAAGGCGACACCTTGCCACCTGGCACCTCTTAGGGGCAGACAGACGCAGACAGGGCCCATGACATGGCAAAAAATCCAAGCGTAGGCCACATCAAAGGCAGAGACGGGGTAGAGAGGTGGCAATAGAAAATATTGGAAAAACGATTGAAAAGTAAAAGAAAAGAAAAGAAT